ACTTGGCTGCTCAGCCCCTTTCTCTATGCTTTTAATCACTGTTTCAGTTTTGGCCCTCTCCTTTCTCTCCTAATTACTAATCTATGATGTGATATTGTTTTTTCTGATTTTTTAACAGAAAATTTTGCTATAGGGAGGGGTATATAGCTCAGCAGCACAGTGTTTGCTGGCAAGCACAAGGTCATAAGTTTGATCTCTGATACAAAAAAAATTTTAATTTTTTCTACATACCCAGCACATTGAAAAGAGAGGGAAACATCACAGAGCACATAAACATTCTGATTAAGTGGACCTCTTGTACTCCAAAAACAAGCCTCCCAAAATGGTGTGCAAAAATGGAGCAAGACATGTTTTTTTTTTTTTTAAAGAAAAAGCAGTGCTGTTTTACCTTTTACCTGGCACCAGGAACACAGTGTAGTTGGAGTTGGCAGAGCTGTGTAACTCACTTAAAACTTTCCACAGACTTTTGTAGAAAGTCCAATTTACAAAGTAAGGGGTTTATAGGTATGGATCAGGAAATGAGGAAATCCTTGATCTGCGAAGGAATGAGGAAGACCTTTAGTTTCCCTTTGCAGAAGACAGAGAGGTCTCATAGGAATTTACAATCTTTTGTCAACTAATTTTAGCACTTAATTTTAGATAACATCTGTCCTTTGCAGAGAGAGCAATAGTTAATGTATCAATCAGGTCACCCAGGAAGATGGCACATACAGAACAGTATGATGGTGCTACAGCTGTTAACAATATGGTTGGTGCCCCAATTGTAGAAAATAGTTGCATTTGCAAAGGTAATTAACAAGTAATTTGGTCATATAACTTGGGCATTGGCAAACATAACACAAACATAACGAAGCTCTTTTTGTTAGTGTGTAACAGACCTTGGGAAATGATTTTTGTTTTTGTGGAGGCTGAGTCTAGCTCTTTAGCCCAGGTTGGCCTAAAATTCAAGATTGTTTTGCCTCAGCCTCCCAAGGGATAGGATTACAGGCATGTATCACCATGCACAGATAAACCAATTTTTAGTACTGGCATAACTATCGAATGAGCCATCAGAATTTTTAAATCATTCCTCTACTATTGAAAGTTTCATTTGCTCTACACTGGCCTATGAGAATCTTGATGAGCTCATTATGTTCGTAGTGAATGCACCCTCCATATAGCAAATCATGATGTTTAAGCAATATTTAATCTCATGTGTCTGATTTACTTAACATTATGATTTCAAGGTGCCCCTGTTTTCCTGTAAATGACTCTAGTTTACCCTTCTTTGTGGCAGAACAATGCTCCATTGTGTATAAATACATTTCTTTATCTATTTATCTGTGCATCACTATAATATGATGTCTTTAACTCTTTTGAGATAATATCTAGCCAAGGAATAACTGGTCAAATGGAATTTCTAATTTCAGTTTTTCAGTTCTAATTTCAGAATTTCTAATTTCAGAGTCTCCATGCTCATTTCCATAGTAGTTGTAAAGCAAAAAAAGCACACTTGCTCCTGGATAGGAGCCCCCTGTCCTCTGTCATCCCTCTTCCTGGCCTTCAGTAAGCCTTTTGTTTTGTGTTAAATTTCTGTTTTTCTTCTGGAAAGATGTCACCTCTTGACCCTGTCTCCACTGTAAGCAAAGAAGATAGACTTCAGTGGTTTTTTGTTTGTTTGTTTGTTGTTTGTCTTGCCAATCATGTACCTCTAACTTGTCTTAGTTATGCAAAGAAGGTGGAATTCAGTGGAACTTTCTGTCCAATCAACTAATGGCAAAAGCTCTGTTCTTGTACTTCCTATGTTGTAAATCTGATAAACCTCCTGCTCCCTGAGAGTTGAGGGCTGGGCTCTTTGTTGAAGGATCCCAGCCAAGCCTGCCGGAGTGAATAAAGCTAAACACCCCCCTTGAATACACTGGGTGCTGCTCGGTTTGTTGGTCTCCTCTGCTGCGACACTTACTGGGAACTGTAGACGCCTTCTAGAAGCTGTAAACACCTTCTTTGAGCTATAAATACTTTTTTTAAGAAGCAGGAACACTCCTACAACAGTTGTACTGGTTTATACTTCCACCAACAATAAAGAAGAGGTTTTTGTCCCCCGGCAACCTCTATAACATTTGAACTGTTTGATTTCTTGGTGACAGCTATTCATCCTGGAATGAAATGAAATCTCAGTGTTTTAATTTGTATTTCTTGAATTCCAATGATGCCAAACATCCTTTTCATGTATTTATTGGCCGTTTGTACTTCTTCATCTAAAAAGGGTCTATTCATCTTCAGATGCTCATTTTATGATCAAGTCTTTCAATTCAAGGGGTCTAATTATTTTGGTTCTTTATATGTTCTAAATGTAAGTCCTTTGTCTGAGGGGTAGCTGGCAAGAATATTTCCTCATTTTGTAGTTTGTCTCTTCACTCTGTTGGTGATTTCCTTTGATGTGCAGATGGCTACAATTTGATGTTGTTGCAGCTGAGTTAGTTAGAAATATTATAGGCAGTGAGACAGGACTAGGTCCCCAATGGAGCCAGGGCAGGAGCCCAGATACCTTGCAGCTGTGGGGGAGACTGATGCCTCCTGCTGTGGGCCAGGCCTCAATAAAAAAGACCAAACAAATGCACCCATATCTTGAGGATTGACACCCTAAATAGTTCCCATCCCCCTAAGGGAAGAGTCACTGCTCCTTAGGAATTCCTGCTTTCTATATGACTGGCTTCTCCATTTGTCCCTAATGTAATCAATGTTATCTGATCTATTGATCTTATTGACTAACTATAGGTATGTCCCACCTCATGCCCGTGAGCTCCCAGTCTTCCCCCACCTTAAACCCATGGTTTTACTCTATTAAATTCCCTGGAAAAGACAGCGTCCTTGGCAATCTGCTCAAGACCTCTTCTGTTTCTCTTCAGACAGAAGTTTTCTTTCTCTCAATAAGTATATTCTGCTCTTAACCTCCATTGTTCCTAAGATTCATTCCTCGATTTTAGAGAACACGAGCTCATACTGGACATAGTGATAGAATTTTTGGCGTGGAAGAGAACCATCTGATAGAATTTTTGGCATGGCTAACAAGATAAGAAGTATAAAATAAAAGTGGCCTTTATTTTAAGAATATGGAGAGAGACTCCTTGACTCTCTGGGCTCTGGCATTCTCTCTGCCAGACACCTGGTGTGGGGCATACTTGTAGCTTAGGTTTGGGGTGGTGCCTAAGGGGCATTAGTGATGCACAAGTAGCCCATTGGTAGTCATTTGGTGCCACAGGTAAATTGCCTAGGGGCGGGAAAGGTGACTTCAAGATAGAGCCCCCTTGATTCCACCTCCCAGCCTCCTCCTGGCTACAGTGTCCCATCTGGGGCAAAATCCTTTCATTTCTGTCTTTTGAATATTAGGGAAAAGGGTGAAGATTTTCTTTTTTTTATTGCTTCCTGCTGAAAGGGGGGGCTGTACTGTGGTTTAGGAGTGTCAACGGGATGACATTTGATGCCCATGTAGAAGCTGGGGCCAGGTGTTTTAACCAGGACAACTTTATCACTGGTGAATGCCCATTCATTAGACTGGAAAAACAAAGGAACAAGGTGTTATGAGGAGGCAGGCCACTATCATATTTAAGGACTCAGGTGAGGTAAAAGGAAAGATGCCTTTGATTTTGAAATGTCATTTTATCAGGACCATGTTGAGGTAGAATTATTTTTGAAATGTCATTTTATCAGGACCACATTGAGGTAGAATTATTGCCACTGTAAGGTAGAATTCTAAAAAATAAGTGTGGGGTTATGAGAGGTGATTATTTCTCCATCTGAAAGGGTAAAAGTTAAAGAGGGTAAGTAGGTAAGGCTTGTTTCTGGTATCCATGATGTGGGAGTCTTTAGGAAAGACTGTTGAGAGTCCTGCTGTAAAAAGGATAAAAAATTAGGAACCAAATTGGGTAACAAAACATGACAGCCTGACAGTTGTGGCTGTGAGGCCTTGGTGAGGTGGAAATGAGTGGGCAAAAGGATGGTTAGATCTAGGGCTGGAAGGGCACCACTTAGCCTGAGTGATGTGAAACCAGGATGGCAGTCTAGCAACTTTGACCACTGTTGAGGTTGCCAAGAAGACCAGGTATGGGCCACTCTAACTTGGTTGTAGTCCTTGGGGTGATATGCTGTAACAGGATGTTAGTAAGTTTTATCAGCAGTCTCCCTGGTTGTGGGAAAGGCTTTTATGTATCCTGAAAAAGTATAAACAAAGGTGAGAAGATAAAATTTATCTGTCAGTCTTGACCAGGGTCGTATCTGAGAAACTGGTGAATAGGAAAGGAAAGGGGTGTTATATATCACTGAGGAGAGGTTTACTAGCGATAACAAGGTGTAAGCTGTTGGGACCTCAGAGTGTCTGGGTCAGTCTGCATAAACACAAGCAGTCTGGAACCTGTTCAAAATAGGCCCTGTCTGTAAAGGCTGCATGGGTTGCCCATCAATACCCTCTATAGAGACTGAGGACTTAATATAGCAGCCTGAAAGCTCAGGAAGAACGCTATACTGGCCTCTATGTCCACAAGAATAGAGAATGTCGTACCTGAGACTTTTAGTGGCACTTGGGACTCTGAGAAGGACACCTTAATGGGGACTGTGGGCCTCAAGCCCTGTCAGTCTTCAGCAGCAAGTCCAAGCATATCTGTCAGCAATGCATCTGGCAGTGTTGGCATTTCCTATGAGGGCTAGAAGTTAGGATGGCTTGCCCACTCTCTGGTGATTAGGACAGTCCAGTAGCCCTGGGGTAAGGTCTCAAAGGAATGCCAGGATGGGGCATTCTCTTGCCCAATGTCCTTCTGCTACATTCAAGGCATGGTCCATAGGGGGGCTTAGGCAGCTCCACCTTGTGTTGGTTTACCTGTCTCAGAACTCCAAATGTCACTGCTAAAAGATCAGATTGTTACCTCTGTTGTTGAAAACATGAAAAGCCATATTAAGAAGGTCTCCCTGGGGGCTTTGAGGGCCAAGTTTAGCCTTTTGTTTTCGGATCTGGTCCACCATAGAAGGTATCTGTAGAATTAATTAAGTATGCAGGAATCAAATAATACAATCAACAGGGTATTTATGATTATAACTTTATATAAGTATCTCTTTATGCTGTTAAAATGTCTAATGCCATCTGATTTTTGGAGGATGGCTTTATTAATTTTACCTTTTTATTTAGGAGAAATCAGCTACAGTGTCATTTAACACCAGTTGAGTACAGTTTATTATGGCTCAGGGGAGGGCGGAGCTAAGGCAGGCAGACAGGCTGGGAAAGGCTTAAGCCTGGCCTCTGCCTCAGTGTTGGTCTTGGTTGTTAAACTTCTAGAAGATTGATAACAGTATAGTACAATATAGGCAGTAAGATTAACATAGAACATTAAATGGCTATCAACGATGAGTGTTTTAACATTTGAATGCCGAAGAAATTTGTGAAACATTTCTAAGTGTGTGTCTGGATCAGAAAGAAAACATTTGTCATCATACATTACATAAATTTTTGTTTGAAAATTATTATTTGACTGGTTTACTCATGTTGGTCTGATTTGTATCTCTTGGCTGGAACACAAGAAAAAGGCAGCAGAAACAATCCAAATTTTATATTTGAAAGCATGAATATACCATCAGATCAGCAACAATGAATTGTCTGTCTGCTGCAACCTGTTTGGTGCTCAGAGCCATGCTGGCACTCTGAGGTGGGGGCTGGGATTGCTCCAGAGACACACAGAGCAGGGCATCAGAGTGCACAGGGAAGGGGTGAAACACGGAGGGTGGGCAGAGTGCACAGGGCAGGCAGAGCACCCAGGGTGGGGGGCGGTGAATGCAGAGTAGGCAGGGGCACAGGGCAGGCAGGGTGCGGAGCTGGGGTGCTGCATGAGGGCCCAGAGCAGCCTATGTGTACCTCCCCCAACACTGTCTGGGTGCACCTCCCCCACCCTGGTGGGACAGGTGGGGTGATGGGGTGGGACTGAGAAATGGGTGAAGTGGGTGGAAGTGGGGAGGAAAGGAGGATGCTGAGAAAGCTTTGAAAGGCTGTAAAGAAAGATGCTATGTTATCTCCTAAGTGTGTGTGTGGGGGAGATCCTGGAGGAGCAGAGAGGGAAAAGGATACAGTCTCAAAATAAAGGCCCAGAGATGGAGAGTTTTTGTAAACTTGTGGTCAGTGTGATAAACTATAAATAGGTATGGTTTTGGGGGGGGACAGGAAGTGGTCCCCAAGATAAGAAAATCTGGTGTGGGGCCCGGCCCATGGAGTCACAGTCAGGTGAGGCAACGGACCGTGGTCTAACCAGGTCAGGTCATCACCTTAACCTTTTAGATCGAAAGGTAATCAGTAATTGTTCCAAAGCTCGTGTTTCTCAGTCCTCACCAAAGGCACAAGTGGAGTTCCCGTGGATTACAGTAATGGCTCTGCCCGTGAGAGCCTAAAGGCTCTAAGAGACATGAGAGATTACAGTAAAAGCTCTGCCTTAGGGCTGTGTAAGGACATGAGAGTGCCACTCGAGTCCAGAGAATGGGAAGAAAACCCATGTGGGGCCTGGCCCAGCATCCAGTAATCTCCGGAGGTTGCTCACCTGTGGTAAATGAATTAGACTGGTGTTGTTTGCAAACCAGCAGTGACAAGTTTAGCAGCTCCCGCGTGTTGAGAAGTGAGGAATTAATACAGTATGCAGTCTGGTCCTGAATGGCAAGGGACTCACCAGCAGTCTCTCGTCTGCCGTTCCAGTCAGGGAACCATCTGATAGAATTTTTGGCATGACTAAAAAGATAAGAAGTATGAAATACAAGCGGTCTTTATTTTAAGAATGTGGGGAGAGACCCCCTGACCCTCTGGGGTCTGGCATTCTCTCAACCAGACACGTGGTGTCAGGGCATAAATGTAGCTTAGGTTTGGGGTGGTGCCTAAGAGGCATTAGTGATGCACAGGTAGCCCATTAGTATTCATTTGGCACCACAGGTAAATTGCCTAGGGGCAGGAAAGGTGACCTAAGATAGAGCTCCTTGGTTCCACCTCCCAGTTTCCCACTGGCTATAGTGTCCCATGTGGGGCAAAATCTTTTCACACAGTAGGTGGGAAGTTTCATTCCCCTATGTCATTTGGAGGTCTTCCACCAAGATCACTGGACAGAGGTGAGAGTTTGCTTTTGCTTCATAGACTCTGGACTGGGACTCATTTAGGTAACAAATTTTTATGCTTCAAATTTTGCCTTGTCTTTGTCAGTTGTTTATATAACTACTTGTGATAATTGCTTACTATTTGCCCATTGTTTGTCTCATATAGTTTTTGTCTCATATAATTGCTTTGTCTCATATAGTTTTATTAAATAATATAAATCTAAGTTAAGACATGGGAAATATAAATATATAATGTTATGATATTTCTTTAATTATATATTATTATTTTATTCTTGCACAAGTTAAATTTAAATTGGTTGCTAAAGTTACTGACTCCTTTCTTGATTGTATTTAGATAATAGCACTAGAAAAAAATAGTAAAACACCTCTGATAGGCTCTAATGTAAACTTCTGTAAAGTTGTTCTCTTAAATGGAAATCTAGCTCAGACTTAGAAAATATACTTGCCTACAATAAACACTGGGACTCCTTCCACCATTTAAGCAGCACTATGCTGGTGGCGGGTCTTCAAGACTTCCAGGACGGTTTCACTGAGACAGACTGGCTCTGATCCTCCCCTATACTCTAGAGGAAATGTCAGGCCTGTTCTGCTTCAGTTTCCTTCCTTTGACTTTATCTCTACTCATTTCCCACTTTGTACTTTCCTTATAAAGGGAGGTAAAGTCAGAAAGAACTCTAGACTATTCAAACCTTTTCCTTCTTAGTTAAGCTCATAGAAAATGAGCGTTTGCTAATGCCAAAGACAGGGAAGTCACCTTGCATAAAGGATACATACCCAGTCAGATGAGACATTGATCGGAACTGTGCCCATCCAGGAGAACACACATAAGAACCATGTCCTGACACAGTGTTGTGGGCAAATCTCCTTTGGAGATTAAACCTGAGACACAGTGGGAAAAAACAGCATCCTGTGACAGTGAAAGAGGCTATCCTCAAAAGCAGCACACATGGAACCTAAACACACTTAGAACAAGGAGGCGCTCCAATCTCTCAAGTTGTGGACTTTAAAAACCTTTATTGTAAATTCATAGAGCAGTAGGTAATGATCTTGCTAAGGCTTTTAACTATCCCTTATAGAATTTTGACAAACAGTGGTCAAAATTAATGCCAACTAATTAATTGCTCTTATAGCAGCTGCCACCCTCAAAAGCAGAGGACAGGTTCCCCAGCATCTGTTTGGTGAATCCCCAAGGAACAAGTGGCTAATGGAGTCAACCGAATGTTGACCAGACAGATGGCTGGATTCCTTTCTGGAGACTGATCTTTGGTTATCTGAGCCAATACAAACTGAGGGTTCCTGGCCAGAGCAACTCTTGGTGACACCCAAAAGCTCCTCGGTGAATATTTGTTCATGACCACTGAAAATCTCCACTTTTCTATCATCTTTATTTCTAAACTTTTCAGTGGAGTTTCAGATCACTTAGACTACCTTCCCCCACCTTCAGTGATTAGACTGAGTCAGTTTACAACAGTTGTTCACACTTCATAGCAGATAGTAAAAAAATTTACATCTGTGCCTTACATATGTTAATTAAGAGTTTATAGGCTTTTCTGTGTGCCTAGAAAATTGATGTGCCCTTTTAGGGTCTGGGGATTTAGCTCAGCGGCATAAGCACCTGCCTTGCAAGCAGGTGGTTGTGAGTTTGATCCCTGGTACTGATAAAAATGAAAAAGACAAAAAAAAAAAAAAAAAAAAAGAAAGAAAGAAAATCGATGTGCCTTTTTCTAACATAAAATGGAATTAATTGCTAGATGATAATTTGTAAATTTAACCTGTGAGCTTCAAAAATATAGAAACTTAAATAAAGAATAGCCTTATCCTGTTACTAGGAAAGGTTACCTAGGTAATTAAGTGGGAGACAAATGCTTAGAGACTCCTCTGCCCCTTGCATGGGCAGATCTCCTCCAGTCAACTGTTCTATTTAGAGAAAAAAAATCCTACTTCCAACTCACCTTTTAATGTATGTTCTCTTCCAATAAGCAAAGTAGTTTATTACGGAGTTATACTTCCTTTTTAAAGCATTCCTTACGGCAATAAAGTTCATGAGCTATCTGGGAAGATAGGATAGGCTGAGGGTGGATAGGCTGGCCAAATCTATCTTCCGTTGTCTCCAGAAGGCATCCACTGGCTCGGAGCAATGTCAACCTAGGGACACCTAGAGAATATTTAGCAAATAAAAATAAAAAGGGACTCCTTGTTTTATCTTCTTTATTTGCATAATTAGATAGCTCAGTATCATTCATAGCTCAGTGAAAGTTCCTGAGTTCAATGCCCAGGTACAAAAAGGTTTCAGACTTATGCCTTGCTTTTACATTACAGACATGGGCAACACAGTACCAAAGCCCCTTACTCCTCTGGAATGCATTCTTCATCACTGGAAGATGTTTGACCCTTCCATGTTGAAAAAGAGGCAAATTGGTATTTCTCTGCAGGAGTGCATGGCCTACCTATATCCTAGAGCCAAAGTGGGATACAGAGGGAAGTATTAATTATGATGTTCTTTCACAACTAAAATCATATTGTAAGAAAAAAAATGATTAGAACTACAGTATGTTGAAATTTTGTTTGCATTAAAAGATAATTCTTATCTATGTTCCAGGTATAATTATAATCCTTATGAGATCACTCCCATTCATAGGTTTCTTTCTCTCCATGACTTAAAGCAAATTAAGCTAAAACTAGGAAAATTTTCAGATGACCCTGATAAGTATGTTGATGTTTTTAGAGGATTTACTCAGACTTATGAGCTAGGCCAAAAAGATGTACTGTCACTCTTAAATCAAATACTGACTTCTAGTGAGAGACAGACATTATAAGCATCTATTGCCTTTGGAGATGAATATCATATTGTTACTTTTAGAAGGCCAGAAGATAGACAGCCAGGGGAACCACCAGTCTCCACTGGGGTATAAGCATTTCCTACCCAAGACCCCAAGTGGCCTGCCAACAATATAGGAGATTGGAAAAAAAGAAACATGGAGATTTAGCTCAGCGGCATAAGCACCTGCCTGGCAAGCACGAGGTCATGAGTTCAATCCCCAGTTCCACAAAAAAAAAAAAAAAAAAAAAAAACAATGCAGGCAACTGGAACAGGGACACTTTCAAGTGTGTATCCTTAAAGGTCTAAGAAGGACGAAAACCAAACATTCTAAACATTTTAAATTGTCAGTTATTTCTCAGAAAAAAAAAGATGAAAATCCCTCTGACTTCTTAGATTATTTATCAGAGACAATAATAAAATGTCTATAGATCCTGATTTGATAGAGGGACAAATTTTGCTTAAAGACGTGTTTATTACTCAGTCAACTCCAGACATTAGAAAAAGCTATGAAAGATAGCCTTTGCTCCAGATAGTTCACTTGGTACTTCAGTAAAAGTTACCTCCTCAGTATTTTATAACCATAATGAAGAGGAGGCCAAGGGAAAAAAACAAAGAGACTGAGAACAAGCAGCTGCCTTTGCTGCAGCCTTAAGAGAAACAGACCCGAGTCAGCATGCTTCAGACAAACTGAAACCGATGAAGAAAGAAACTGAGCCTCCTATATACACCTGTATGGAAGGAACAAAAAATATGAGAAGAGGAGGCAAAAAGAAAGGGTCCTCAGTCTCCAATCCTGAGAACACTGATCCAGAAAAGGTAAGTGCAAAGGAGAATGAAGACAGAAAACATGTAATATTACACACATGGCACCAACAGACATAAAGTGACATCATTGGGATCTTATAGACGGTTCAAAAGTGAAGTATTTAACCAAGTAAAGCAAGATATAAATAGAATAATTAAAGAAATGCTAAGCACATCCCAAGAAAAAACAGATGGTAGAATGGAAGAACAAAAAAAGAGGAGAAAATTGTTTGATAGAGAAAACATAGAATACATGAAGCAGGTTCAAAGAGATTACCAGGAAACTAAAAACTCTATTGAAAGCTAGCATAACAGCTTGAAAGAAACTAAGGGTAGATTGTCTGAATTGGAGGACAGTTTTGTAACGTGGGAACATGAAAGGAAAAACTTTTTTAAAATAACAAGTAGGACTTCTGGGAGAAGAAGGCAGATAGATAACAGCAGCTATGGAGGCTCTCTGAGATACCCAGCTTAGAATCCAGGAATGGTGCAGTGTGGGGAGTCCTAAGCAGGGGGAGATATACCCTGCCAACCCAGGAATGAACTAAGCTAAGAGAAACCAACTGGAAATGCATTCCCGGTGCTATAACCGGAGCAGATAAAATCTCAGCATGTAAGCTGGAACCCATGCCACTGGAAGCCACGATTTGAATTTCCTGCTGCTGCTGCTGTGTCTGAATCAGCACAGCAGGGAGAGAGACTCATGAAAGCTCTGAGAATGGGAATCAGTGAATGGAGTTGAGACCAGGATTGGCGGGGAAACCTGCATCAACCTGCGGTGAGTGAGACGAACGGGGACCCTTCCATAGACTAGGAGGCTACAACAGAGGACATTCTGGGACCAGGCAGACTAGCTGGAACAGGATGCTGCAGTGACTTTAGTCACATATTTCCCTCTCAAGCAGGATTGGTGCAGAGCACTTGGCCTGGGTGACACCGCTGACTAAGACCCAGTAGGCTAGCCCAAACCAGGCCCCAGCGCCTGGTGGTGCACCCTAGCAGTGGAGCCTTCACTAGGTTGACCTGGAGGGGCTAGCCCAGCAGAAGCTGCCCAGGTCTGTGTCTCCCTAGTACACTGCAGTGGGTGGGAACACCTAGCCGGCGCAATTCAAACAAACTGTAACTGACAAAGAAAGAAACTGGGCCTCCTATATACAGTTGTATGGAAGGAACAAAAAGTATGGGAAGAGGGAGCAACAAGAAAGGGTCCTCAGTCCCCAATCCTGAGAACACTGTCCAGGAAAGGTAAATGCAAAGGAGAATGAAGACAGAAAGCATGCAATATCAGACACAGCACCAATAGACATAAAGCATTATCTCTGGAGTCTCATAGACGAGTTCAAAAGTGAAGTATTTAATGAAATAAAGCAAGATATAAGTAGAATAGTTAGAGAAATGCTAAGCGCCGCCCAAGAAAAAACAGATGGTGAAATGGAAGAACAGAAAAAAAGGGGAGAATTGTTTGATGGAGAAAATAGAGAAAACACAGAATACGTGAAGCAGGTTCAAAGAGATTACCAAGAAACTAAAAACTCTATTGAAAGCTGGCATAACAGCTTGAAAGAAACTAAGGATAGATTATCTGAACTGGAGGGCAGATTTGTAATGTGAGAGCATGAAATGAAAAACTTCTTAAAAATAATAGGAAAACAAACAGCAATAATACAAAGGCTAGAAGATGATAAGAGGATCTATAACTGAAGAATTAAGAACATAAAAGAAGTAGGGACTCAAACAAATGAACCACAAAAGCTATTCACAGAAATAATCCAGGAGAATTTCTCTAATTTAGCAAAAGGTAAAGATACTCAGATGTATGAGGCGTACAAGACCTCAGCCACCTACAACTCAAACAGAGCTACACCCAGGCATATAATAATCAAAATTCCAGAAATCCAATATAAGAACAGAATATTAAAAGTCGTCAGAGACAAGAAACACCCATCACTTACAAGGAAACACCCATCAGAATTACAGCAGACTTCTCAGCACAAACCATCAAATCACAAAGAGCATGGGGGGAAATAATTCAAGCTTTGAAAGATAATAACCTCCAGCCATGATTGATATATCCTGCACAACTATCCCTAGAAACTGATGGAAAAACAAGGTGCTTCCAGGATAAAGAGGAACTAGGGGAATTTGCAACCACCAATTCAACTGTACAGAGAATACTGCAGGACATTCTAAAAAAGAAAAATACCAAGATTCCAGAAACAGTGGCAGCGAGGCCACAATGAATGGAGCAGAAAGTGAAATGAAGAAGACAAACTGACAACTAATGACAGAAAAAGAGCTCAACAGAAATGAGGCAGAGAAGGTTGGATGGTAGGTACAGCCATTTTGGAGAAAACAAGACATCATAATAGCTAGTGCTGATTTAATATCATCTTGTTTTGAAGTCCCATCAAGCTTTTGTTCTTCTGTCTCCATTGGTCTTAATATGTTGTATCTTATTGGATTTTATTATATGTGATAATATAAACAAAAACTTTTATAGAAAAGGAGATTATACAGAAACCATTGTTCATTTTCTGTTAGTTGATTCTAAATACCCTGTTATACTGTCATTCTCTTGAATGGTTTTACATTGTCTTGATATGTTTGATGCTAGAGTATACGAAGTTATACTCAAAGATTTCAAGGAAAGAGACACTATGGTAACTACTTTTATGTCGGGATAATCTTGTGGTGAAACACTATTTTGCTTAAATGGTTATGTTTTGACCTGCGCTGTTTTGTTGTTAAGCCCTCTTTCATCTCAATCTCCTTTTTTATTATTTACTTTTTTATTTTTATCTTTTTAATTAAGGGAAATATAAATAAAAAATAGCAGGATATATTATAGTAACCCACTTTGATTTCCTATTAACTTGATTTGAAACCCTGTATTGCTCACACCATCTTGTTTTGACTGATTTTCCTCTATTCTGTTTTGCTTGATAGTCCCAAGTTTCAACGTATAGGCAACAACTGTGAAGACAATAAGATTCATTATGATGCCCATTCTGGTTGACTATCATCTTCTTATGAAGTCCTGTAATGTCTCCAATGTTTTGGTTTTATTGGTTTTATTCTTTACTGTTTTGTTCAATTTTATTATAACTGATGATATAGGCAATTCTTTTTAAGATAGCAAGAGGCAGTATGGTAACAATTGTTGATCACCTTGTATTTTGTTTTTACATTATGTATTATGTCCATCCTTTTGATTTGAATGACTCTGTTCTGTTGTGTCACATTTGGTTTTACTCTCTTCAAAAAAAAAGTAATAAGAACTGTGGGAGTAATAAAACCCAAAATGTGTAATTGTCATTGTACAAAAGAGAGGAAAAGAAAGTGCTCTAAAGGATATAACTGTATGTATATTTAAGTGTATAAGATAGATAACCATATTACTGAGTTTTGTTGGATCATTGAGCAGAACTGTTTGCAGTCTCACTGTTTGAAAGTCCACTTTATATGCTTTAAATTTGTAACTTGTACAACTATTTCTAAGATGACAATATGTAATCTATTAACTAGTGATTTCCTACTGTTTATTTTTTCTGAAATTCTGTATAACTTGTACCCTTTTTCTGTTTTTTTTTTTCTTTTTCTCTTTAAATAAAATTTTTAAAAAATAACAAGGAAACAAGCAGTAACAATACAAAGGCTAGAAGATGACAAGAGGATCTATAACTTAAGAATAAAGAA